TTATTATTATCATTTTATTATTTTATTATTATTTTATTATTATCATTAATTTATTATTAATTTATTATTATTCTATCATTATATTATTATTACTATTTTATTATTATTTTATTATTATCATTATTATCCTTATTTTATTATTATTTTATCATTATATTATTATTATTATTATTTTATTATTATCATCATTTTATTATTATTTTATTATTATTATTTTATTATTATTTTATCATTATATTGTTATTGCTATTTTATTATTATTTTATTATTATCATTATTATTTTTATTATTATCATTTTATTATTTTATTATTATTTTATTATTATCATTATTATTTTTATTATTATCATTTTATTATTTTATTATTATTTTATTATTATCATTATCATTATTTTATTATTAATTTATCATTATATTATTATTATTATTATTGTTTTATTATTATCATTATTTTTTATTATTATTTTATTATTATCATTATTATCATTATATTATTATTATTTTATTTCTATTGGTTTTCTCAGAGCCAGGGTCTTGCTTCTTCGTATTTCCGCGAAACCTTTTATTAAGCATTGACTCCGCCACGTCTCACGGAGAACAACCCTCGGGAGTCGTTGTCACGGTGAAACAGCTCGTGAATTAACGGGAAGGAAATTTATTTTCCTGGTTCACTCGCTGTCTCCGGGACCGTTGTTCAAACTTTTAATTAACAATTAGATTGTTATCAGATTATTATTGAAATCGTTGAAACGTTTAAGAACTTGATTCGAAAACCGCGCCAAACCGGAAAAAAATCCAATTAAATGAAATCTAATTAAATGAAATTTACTTTTTTTCTTATTATTTTTAAGTGAAGTTTCACTGAAAATCGACTCAAGGTTTAAATTCACGTTTCTGTTTGTCTTTAAACGAAATCTCATTTATGTTCTGTGTGAATCTTACGTTGAAATCCGCGCAGACGGCCCGTGACGTCGCTGCTGATCATTATTTCATTATTATTATTATTATTATTATTTTTGTATGAGGCGATGACGTCATCCTGCGTGGTGACGTCATATGCAAACGAGAAACGCCCGCCCCGCCCCCGACTTCCGGTTCTCACCCCGTCTCCCGCCCGCAGATCCCACGAGGAAGCCGACGCCCAGGGCCCCGGCGGCCCCGAAGAAGCCGGCGTCAGGTGAGGTCGCTTCCTGTCTGAGAGACACGCACTTCCTGTCTGTGAGACACGCACTTCCCGCCTCGCTTCCCGCTTCACTTCCTGTCTGACCTCCCGCCTCCTCCCCGCAGACGACCTGAACCTGGAGGACGGCCTGCCCGCGGGCGGTGAGCACCGGGAACCGGCCTGAGCCGGTCTGAAGCGGCGGGACGCGGATGTGAACGCTTCACGCCTGTCGGGAGCCGGATTTACCCAGAATGCCTTCCCCGGGACTCGCTGATGCACGCTGATGTATGCTAATGCATGCTAATTTATGCTAATTTACGCCAGGAGCACCGGCGCCCGGGAACATGGATATGCTAATGCATGCTAATGCATTCTGGTGTATGCTAATGCATGCTAATTTATGCTAATTTATGCTAATTTACGCCGGGAGCGCCAGCGTCCGGGAACATGGATATGCTAATGCATGCTAATGCATTCTGATGTATGCTAATGCATGCTAATTTATGCTAATTCACGCCAGGAGCACCGGCGCCCGGGAACATGGATATGCTAATGCATGCTAATGTATGCTAATCCAGGCTAATACAGGCTAATGCATGCTAATTTACACCAGGAGCGCCGGCGTCCCGGACCATGGATATGCTAATGTATGGTAATCCAGGCTAATGTATGCTAATGCGCGTCACGTTTATGCTGATGAGCCGCAGAGGCTCGGTTTGCCCGCGAATGCTAATGAGGCGGGCTGGAACTGGCTGCACGTGCGCTAATTCATGGTAATTTATGCCGATGAACGCCTCGTGACGGAAACCCACGCGGATTTACACTCGGCTTATGCGAATGAGCGCGGGTTTATTTTTTAACTATTTATTTAATTATTTAATTATTTAATTATTAATTATTAATTATTTAATTATTAATTATTTAATTATTTAATTATTAATCACTTAATCATTTAATTATTAATCATTTAATTATTAATTATTAATTATTTAATTATTTATTTTTTAACCATTATTTTAATAATAGCTCTAACAATAAATCCTAATGATTTTAACAGTCTAATAGTAATTTTAGTCAGTAATCTATTTATCCTCATTACGAAGGAGACACTAATCGCAAGCGGTTTATGCAAATGAGCGCATGCTCGTGCTGACGTACGCAGACGCACGCTAATCGCCCAGCCCTGGCCCCTCCCACAGCTTCCATCCCGGTGACTAATGACGTACGCTAACGAGACGCGGCTTCCGGCTTCGTCCTGGCCTCGTGCGTGATGACGTCATCTATAGTAACGACGTCACCTCGGGCTCTTTATGCTAATGAGACGGCGAAGCGCGACCCCGCATGTCCTAAATTATGCGAATCAGCTCCGCCCCGCATTAAAATCCACGCTGATTTATGCTAATTACCCTTAAACCAGCTCCGCCCTGGGCGCGATCCCGCATGCGCTGATTAGGCAAGTTACCTCCGCCCACTTCCGGTCCCGGTATTATAATCTATGCTGATTTATGCTAATTACGCGGGGTTTCCTGCTCTGACTTGATGAGCCTAAGCAAGCAACCGCTTCTAATTGTCTATCATAATTATAATATTATTATAATCCATGCTAATTCATGCTAATGAGATCCAAAGATCCTCGGACATCACCCCAGACTCTATCATAATCCATGCTAATTCATGCTAATGAGCCCCAAAGATCCTCAGACATCACCCCAGACTCTATGATAATCCATGCTAATTCATGCTAATTCATGCTAATGAGCCCCAAAGATCCTCGGACATCACCCCAGACTCTATCATAATCCATGCTAATTTATGGTAATTTATGCTAATGAGCCCAAAGATCCTCGGACATCACCCCGGACTCTATCGTAATCCATGCTAATTTATGGTAATTTATGCTAATGAGCCCACAGGACTCCACCCCGCGCTGTTTCCCGCATGCTAATTCATGCTAAATTATGCAAATCGCCCCGCAGAACCCAGGCTCGATGTCAGGCCGTATCATAATCCATGCTAATTTATGCTAATGAGCCCGACCGAACCCGTTCCGAATTTTCCTAATTTATGCTAATGAGCCCGCCCCACCCCGTATGCTAATGCGCGGACTGACGCACGCGCCCGCCCCGCCCCCAGGGGGAATCTCCGACCGCGACCTGGAGGACGTCGCCGGGACGGGCGGGAACGGTGAGCCACGCCCCCTGGGCCGGGGACACGCCCCTGGGTCGGCGGGCACGCCCACTTCCGGGACGCGGCGGGCGGGGCTGGCGGGCGGACTCGGTGCATCCTGGGAAATTCTCCGCAGGCGGAGGCGGAGCCGGAGGACGAGGGCGGAGCGACGAGCCGCAGCCGGACGGTAGGCCCCGCCCCCGGACACGCCCCGGATTCGTACACGCCCGGAAGTCAGTGAGACACAGACGGGAAGTCCCGCCCCGGCGACTCAGTCAGTCAGAAACGGACCGGAAGTCAGAGAGACACAGACAGGAAG